GGCAGGGGGTTGGAACTACATGATCTTTAAGGTCCCTCCCAACCCAAACCACTCTGGGATTCTACTGGGCATGCCAAATGAGAAGGGGGTGTATGGAACTGCCCTGCATGAGGAACGCCAAAAGATGGGACAGGGAGACCTCTTGCTCTTCCAGGACCACTGCCCACAGCCTGAGTCACTAAACAGTCATCAAGACAGGTCAGCAGGGGAAAGAACAGAGCAGGTGCAGGCTGAGTAGTTGGGAGGAAAGCACAGTAAACTCCTGCCTGCTCTACACAGGGAGGCGGGTTCCTAAACCCACTCTCTGACCTCACCACTCATGCGTGGTGGGATCCAGGAGGGACAGAGAGCACCCCAGCACAGTGCTGAGGAGACACCTCCGAGGGGATGGACACACCTCCCACACAGGCAGAGACTCCCCTCGTCTCCAGAGAGGTCTGCTATCTCCAGCCTCCAGAACTCGAGTTGCTCCACTCCCTTTCCTGACAGGCCCCTCTGCATCTGTGAGCTCTTCCCTGGCCCCTCATTCCTCAGGGCCATGGTCTCAGTTGCTCTTCCCACAGCACCCACGTCCTTCCCATCACATCCCTCCTTCAGCAGCCACTTCTGCAGGCCACTCTGAGGCCCCATAAAGGCTTTTCCCAGTCAAAAGCAGCACTTCTTTATAAATTCACATATTCCAGGATGGCTTGTGGAACACTCAAAACTCCATGTCCCCTTGGTGCTTGGACACAAACACTCAACTGAACTGAGCCACCGAGGCCGAGGCCTCCCCCTTGTCTTTGTTCTCAGTGGCAGTGATGGCAGAGAAGGGCAAAGCTCTCCCCCACAGTGCCAGAGCTCACCTGGAACTCCCCCGAGAGGACCCTGCGTGTGTAGATGTTGCTGGTGTAGGGCTCGATGGACTCGTTGTTGCCCAGGATCTGGGCAGTGGAGGCAGTTGGCATGGGGGAAAGGAGGAGGCTGTTCCTGACACCGTACCTGGGGACAACAGGCAAAGTCACAAAGCTGCAGCCAAGGGGGACAGGACAGGAGAGAGCCAAGAACAGCACAGGGAACTGGAAATCTGGGAGAACCTGCAAACCCTCCCACCAGGAAAAGGGAAGGGCCACCAG